CTTCTTCGTTATTGTAACAATTTTGTTCCTAATATTTGACAAAAAGCAACCATACCTGTTCGCTTTTGATTAAATTCACCGCTCGTTATTCTGTTGAATAAAAATTAAGGTTTTCATTAAAATAATTTCAAAAAAAAACGTAATAAATGTGATGACGTAGTAAAAACACTTTGTGGTTTATTCAAAGACGTTCAGATTATTTTCATATTGATTTAAAATAGCATGCTTTTTAGTCAATCGATTAGTTGAAGCTTAAGGAAAGAAATCTAAACCACATCCATCATTGTGCTACGCCCTATTCTGTAAAAGTTTCCAATCAGTAAACTCTGAAAAACTCAATGAGCAACCTTAATATTCATTTTAAGGTAAGTTTTGTGTATAAGATCATCTGTTTAATTAAAGAGAAAAGATTTTTATGTTGACAGGTGGAACGTGCTAGATCTTCTGGCTCTGACAACTTTTCTACCAGGACTAGTGATACGCCTAAACAAAAACTGGGGTAAGGAAACTGATGTAGGATTAAAAATTTACCTATCTTATGCAGAATTAAAACTGATGCAGAAAAAAAAGGAACCTAAGTTTCATATGATGTTCGATATGAGAAGCAATGATATGAGAAACAAAAATAATAATTTGTAAAAAACACATGCATCTTTTTTAAAATAATAAATCGAAAGCTGTTTTTGTTTGAAGATATGGAAATAGCCAAAAAGATAATCTAGTGTCAAACAGTTTGTTGTGTTTCAGATCTTCTAGATGTTGCTCATGATTTCTATGTTGTAACTCTTCTTCTTTACTTCATTCGATTCACTAGTGTGTTCTGTTTCCATTCTTACCTGGGACCCAAAATAGTTATGATATCCAAAATGTTCAAAGACATCGGTTTCTTCTTCTGCATTGCCTTAGGTTAGTTCATGGATATATTATAATTAAAAAGCTCATAACTTTTTGGAGCTTCACTTGACTAGAAAAAGGTAAAAACTCGGACTTGAAGGGAATCCAACACAGGAGCTCAATTTTGTTAATGCTTAAAGTTGTTAAGTCTAAATTTACGGGAAAAAAGGAAAAAGGTATGAAAAGGCTACAAAAAACGTTAAACGTTTGTGGCAATTTTAATGTATGAAGTGTATTTTTATTTGAATGGCTTGAATAGACCTCATCTATGTTCAAGGGAGTCAATTGAAGATATCCCTGAAAAAATAAAGTTTCGACATCTTTCAGTGTACATAGTGGCTTATGGAGTAGCAATTCAATCACTGATCTATCCTGGTATCACGCAGCCTCCGTTCAGTATCCCCTGGGGAGTGTTATTCAGGTCCTTCTTCGAGATGCTGGGGGACCCGAACTTTGAAGAAATAGGCGCTACACATTTGGAAAATTGTACTATAGGTGAGATTCTCCAATTTATTTAAAAACTTCATTCAGTTTTGTAGAGAATAGAGCAGAAACTGCTCACCAATATCAAAGTCCTTATCAATCAATCAAGTGACAATTTTCTACAAATTTTAACTCAAAACACTATAGTCAAAATCAAACGAGAGGCAAAACATATTAGAACTTGTGCGAATAAAAAACGCGATTGGTGCAGCGTTGAACTTTATTAATCTTGAAAAATTAGTTTTGCCAGTTATCTTAAGACCAATTTTTTTAGTAATTCAAATCAAAGAAAACACGGTAGTGCGTATCAAGACGAAGCCATTGTTGTTGCAACTGCTTTTTATTGACAATGAAAAGGTATTTGGCTGAAATTATGGAAGGCTCTTAAAAACAAGATTTTTGAACTTAAAATCTATCATCAGCTTTCTTTATTTTCCCTTTCTCAATATTATCCCAATATAAACCAACCGAAAATCAAAGCGATACAGTTTGCTCCGCACTTTGAAATATCCCAATTTCAATTTCCTCAAATTTTAGAACAATGAATAACCGCATGTGAATTCTTTTACTGTGAAGCTTTAACTATCAAAATCTGTCAGATGATATGGTAAGCTGGTTTTTTTCAGAATTGGCCACTTAAATGATGAAAACGAATCGGCCTGTTAAGTGGAAAAAAGAATCCACTGCCAAGCGCAAAGATTCCGTCACTTCGTTTGAAACTCGGAACAATCGTTTTTTTCTCCAGAGAAATACTGACAGGCTACTTTAAAAACAGGTCTGAATTGTGCCAAAATGAACTGAATTTGATTGGTAACACCCATAATAACCATAAACTTTGACTTGACTCAATTACTCAACGCTTTTTCATATGGAAGACAAATTCTATCCTTGTAACTGATTTAAAGCATGTATTTAGGTACTGAAGCGCAATGGCCTTTTAATGACTCTCCCTACGAAAAAAACACCATCTTCGCCATAATTCTCAAAGCAGTGTTCATGTTATTCACTAATGTATTACTCCTCAACCTGTTGATTGCCATTTTTAACAACAGATATGATCGCGTGAATAGGGAGAGTAATGTTTATCGGAAATTCCAGATGGTTCTAGTTACAATGGAATACCAAAACCGGTGAGTATTCATTTCAGTTTAGTTTTAAAGTCATAAATGTTAGAGTTTTTGTCAATAAGTAGACGATTTCATCATACTTGGTTTTTTAGATCTGGGAGTGATCTACAAAGTGAAAAATGTTTCATAGAATTTTAACTTTTTAAACTCATCAACCAATGTAATACAAATTTCCTACAGGGAATAATTTTTTTTCAAAGAATTTTTTATTCAAAGTATGAAACAGTTTTCAAATCCAATTTTTTTAAATTGAGTCGTCTTCTGAAATTGAGTGGAAAAAAATCATTCGATTTCAACAGTATCTCCCATTTTTAATTTTTTGGTTATCTATAGCAGATGGGATATTCAACTTTGTCTTACATCTCTAAAAATATTTCGTTATTTGAACGGTTGGTTTTTGCTTCAGACGAGTCCACCAATTTTTTTTTTAAGTTTTTGCAAGCGTCAATTTAAATTAATCATCTAAAAAACTTCATCCAAAACAGTTTCAAAACTTTTTCAACTTTTTGCAGCTATTATAGGCTTTTCGAAGACAAAATTTCAGGTTTCATTTCCAAAGAAGTTCAAAACTTTCCATAGAAGTTCAAATAAGTTCTTTATGCTGGTATTTGTAAACATCTAATGATAGTGCGCAACTTTTTATGAAAGTAAAAACTAAAGATTTTTTCATCGCATCAGGTGCCCATGTAAACATTCCCATCCCACTTCTAGATTTGCCAAGTTAAGACCTTCCAGCGCAGCAATCAAGTCAAATTCATTTTGCTAAGCGCTGTAAGTAAAATTCTCCAATTGGCATTGGGTGTGTGAACTTGGTCCAAATCAGGCAACCTTATGAAAGTTCAATTTTTCTAAATTCCAAACTTAACCTAAAGATCAATCCAAATCAAGTAAAATAAAAATTCGACTGTTTCAGCCCGTGGCTTCCACCACCATTCATCATAGTTTCTGACATTTACATACTTGTGAGGATCCTAATCAACCGGATTTGGCGGATAAGGAAAAAAAACAATAAGCCGGATTTTGCTGAGAATCCAAAAAACAAATTGCAGCTAGAGTATTGGGAAAATCTCCGGTCAGTTTTATTATTTTTGTCGCTTTTTACCTTTTTGCTTACGCTCCTTGAATTAAATCATCAGGAAAATTTTGTACTTCTACCATCTTTTTCTTTGTTGTAGTAACAATTAGAAAAATATAATTTAATCTGTTTTTTATCTCTTTGAATTGTTGGTTTTAAAGAATATCAATTTAGAGCCATGGAAATTATTCAATCACAAGAAAACAGAAAAAAAGAAGGATCAAAAATGGAATTCAGTGCTGTCGCGATGGATAAAACCATAAACACCATTATAGGTTGGTCACATTCTTGTCACTTTCTTTGATGCCATGGAAAAAATTCTAAAAAGGTTTAGATAGATTGCCGGTTCTTCATAAAACATTAGTTCGAGTTGCGAAGAAACCTTGTTGAGATTTACAGTAATGATATCCAATAAGTTTAAAAAAAAACACGTAGACGAAAGTGAGTGTATTCAAAAAGAGTACTACCATTTTAGCGAAGAAAACTAAATCAATTTAGAAAAAAGAGAGCTCCAGATTTTTTTTTAAAAAAACGAACAATGCACGCACAATATACAATTGCAGATCAAAAGTTTATGAAGACGGGTTTGGAGAAAATAATTAAATACTTTAGCAAAATTTTGGCAAAATTAAGTATGGTTGCGCAATTTACATATCGAACCCCGTGTGAGAAATAAATTCTTTTTACTTAACATAATGAAAATTATTTGGGGAGACGAAAAAAACTTCAGTAGACTGGGTTTCAGGCTCAAAGGGTTACCAGCCTTAAAGCATTTACACAACGGTCCATCTAGGTTTCCGCGCATCATAATATTGGTAGTTCAAGATCCAAAATGATTTTAAGCTGCGAAGAAATTAGCCAAAGGCACCCATTTTTTTTTACAAGTGCTAAATAACTTGTCATAGAAATTTTTTTATAGAGAATGATTTTGGTTAAGATGATTTTTTTCATATTGCCGGAAAATAATACGGAAAGTCATTTCGTTGTTTAAGTATACAGTGCTCAAATTCTCAAAAAATTTCCTTGAAATTGTCAGTACGAACACTGTTTACGTTTAGGTTTCAAGTTATAAAGAATATACGTTTTTTTTGAAATAAATAGTTGTGCTGGAACAGTTTTACATTGAAAACAAAAAAATCTTTTTGATTAATATAATCATATGTTGTATTTCTAGATCAACAGAACGAGTTGAACAAAAGATGTCAGAAAATGGAAAAAATGTTAGAAAAGATAGCTGAAAAGATTTCTACAAGCACAGATGATGAACTTGGCCTAAAATAAATCAAAAACAATTCAAATTGTACATTGTAATTATTGTAAATCACCTAACTAACAAGTCAGCAACTGATTGACAAAATCTTTTTTGGTAATTATTTTAACTGATCTGAATAATATTAGCAGGAATTTGAGAAGTCAGCTTTATCAGGAGATTTTTTTATTCAGATCCTCTTGTCGAAGTTATTATCAATTCAAAATTAAAATTTTCTAGCCACGTTTTTTAATCTAATCAACTTATCATGCTGAAATTTCTTGGTTAAAAAATCCAATATATTCTGTGACCACTGTGAGGCTAAACTGTGCATTTTGTGAACTGTAGGCAGAGTCCCCAACAGAAAAAACCAGATATGTCGCGGAATCCGCAAGATTGTTATTATTCTTTGATCTTCTGTGCTGTTTTGGATTCCATGGACAAGTAGCTAAAGCACTGTGTTGCTCAAAATTGCTCCAAAAACTAGCAACTTTGTGGAATCCGCAACAAAATGTGTAGGACCCGGAAGCAGATTGTGGAATCGATGAAAAAAATTATACACGTGTTTGGTAATTTTAGGCTGTCGCGGAATCCGCAACAGTGGAATCCGCAATTTGTAGGCAGAAACCGCAAAATGCAGGCGGCTTCCGCAAATTGTAAGCAAAATCCGCAAATTGTGAGCGGAATCCGCAAAGAGTAAGCGGGATCCGCATAAATTTGCGGAATCCAATTACATTTCCAAAATCCGAGTACATTGCGGAATCCGGAACAACTACCTACATTCGCTAGTTGAGGAATCCGCAACAAAATCACCAATATCAATTTGCGACAAAAATTACGTTAGAGGTATTTGTACGCGGAATCCACTAAGATTTTGCAAGTGGAACCCACCTACCCACCTAGATTTTGGAACCTGTTTAAAGACTTGTCTCTGGAATCCAGGAAGATACAGAGACAAAAACTTTGCGCCTATACAGTGCACAGTTTGGCCTCGTAAAGACGTGGCAATGGACCTTTTATTTCTTCAAAATGTTGATTTTCGGTTTGGCAACGGCAATTTTTTCAGTTTTTTCAGTTTGCGGTTAACAATCAATCAATTTTCAATTTTGATTTTTGGTATGCCCTCCAATGTTATAATTCATCAGTTTCCATGATTATCCACAATTTCATCCAACACATCACACCATTTTTTTGCAAACCGATTGATTTTGATGTATAAAACTTAAGTTTTAAGAATTTCGTATCAATTCAAATTTTTGTATTGAATCTAATAAAGCAATCTCTGATAGAGTTTGAACAAAAACAGTTGCCGCCTGATTTATGACAATTTTTCATCTCGTACAAACACTAAGGAAACTAAAATTTTTGTTTGTTTCGTTAATGCTGTGTTGTTACAGCAAGCTTGAGACTGTGTTGCAAATTAAGAGATTTAAGAAAAAAATTATTCTATCCGCTGGTAGTAAAAAAATATGGTTGTTTATATTAAGATTTAATGAAGAACAATTAGGAAAAAATCCGCGTGGTTCCAATTTTCTTTAGCTTTTAACAAAATTATTAATAGCAAGGAAAGTAAATATTATTTTTCGTTCGATATGTTTTTGAGTGATCTGAGCATATTTGACTTTGTTTCGATTGACATGACGCAAAATGAATTTTGTTTTAGATTACAAAAATTAACTTGTTCAGTGATGTATCGAAAAAAAAATGCCCCAGAAATTCGTGAATGGTTGTCAAATTAACTCAAAAACACACACAGTTTTTTATGATCCTAAACCGAGGTGACCAGAAGAACAGACCTAAAACATTGAAGAAATCATTGTGAGTATGCCTCAAAAAATCCAAACAAGTGTTCCGAAAACTCGAAAACAATTCGCAGCAAGCGTAATTTGCACTTTTTATTTGAAAATAAAAATTTCTCGCCGTATAAAAAATTTGCTATCGAAGTCTCAGCAGGTCACATCATAAAATCCGGAACTAAGGCAGAAAACAACTGTGTGGATGCAAAATAAAGCAATTAATGGCAATAAACAGTGAAACTTTTTACCAAACTTTTTTCCTATTTAAAAAAATTGATAATGAGAAATTTTGCTTGCTTCTAAATACCTTTTTCACATGGTAAAAATTTTACTGATTAAATTCCATTCTATCTTTTTTTGATAATGAATTGAGTAACTTTGAGACTTATGTTGTCGCGCTATGGACAGTCTTTCTTTTGTGCATTAAAAAATTTCGTTTTTCAATTTATTGTCTCAACAGTACCCTTCTTAACCTTTGTTGGACTACCTAACAGGTCCACTCTGAAAAAGTTTTGTCAGCGATTGTACCCGTTTTTTAACTTAAGTTTTGAGTATCAGAAAGCAGTAAAAAAATACTCATTTTTAGAAAAATTTTGCAATAAATTGCCCCTCGTTAACTTTCGTTCAAATCAGTTTTATTCGATAGGTGTTATGATTTAGCTGCATTATGTCTAGCTTCAGATGAAATAATTGTTCGTGTCAAGGTCGGGACAGGTATCCTGAGATTGAAACTTGAATTGAGAGTTGTGTTCATTCTGCCTGATGCACGTTGAAAGATAACAGCATAGATTGTTCAATTGCATTTTTTTTATCGGCAGTCTTTTAACAAATCGTAATCTTACTTATTTAGTTCGCATGGATTTATTCAGACATACCCCATGATGAAGCCAACAGTTATGAATCACGATGAGAAGTCGGATCTACTGGGAGTTCCCGTTTTTGTTCAAAACAAACATCTGACCCAACTATATCTTGGGAAACCTGGATTGGTCAATTTTCCTTGCCATCACTCTGAGAGCGCCAAATGACCTTTTACAATCGCCTGGTGAGTTTTCCAACAACCCTACACCACGACCAGAAAGGCCAGGTGAATCCAATTTAAGTACTGATATCGAAAATTTAAAAAAAAATTGAAGCTGAATTACGGAAAACTATCGAACAGAACACGGAAAGGCGCAAGAAAGAACATCGTGAAAGACACAGGAAAAACCAGCTTTCAAATACTCCACGCGGATTCTGAACTCTTTTTCAGGAAGGAGATGAATCACATAGTTGAAAGGATGCAATTCTAAAACTCCACTAAATCCGAAAAAGAAGCTCTCGAAGTTTTTCTTACGCTCATCGGGCCAAGCAGCCAAGTGTGGATGGTCAGTTCCTACCCAGAAAGAATGCTTCAATGAACTCTAATCCTTTAAATTTTTCAACACATTTTCCTTTTAAAATCAAGCAGGAACCAGCCTTTTTGATTCAACAACGTATGTCAAGAGCACAGAAAAACAAGAATAAAAACAATTCCCGGCCATTTACCAACAACAAACCCTGATATTTTTGTGGAAACGGACTTTTGTGGAAAACTGCAAAGCTGTACCCCATGAAAAACTTCAACTGCACATCCCGTGGCAAGAAAGGTCACTTAGTTAAAGTATTCAATTCGAGGTAACGTTGACAATATTATTGAAGATTCCGAGAATTCAGTACCTTGATGATTGCGAGTCTGGGGCCAGACGAAACCTACCAGCTCATCCAACACCGTCCGCGAACAACATTGAAGGAACTCTAAACCGAACTCATTGAAGGAGATAGAAAATATCAATACAGCCACGAGTAAAATTAAATGGCCTCAAATTATCTTATGAGCTAAAAACTCCAATTTAAAAGCAATTCTTGGCAAAAGCAGACTTGCTTCCTTTATTAACAAACGAGTGGCTATCTTTTTTTAAAATTAAACGTGAAGAAATGCAAAGTTGATCCCCATCTCAGAATTGCTCATAAATACTTTCTATGTGGATTAAAATCGGAAACCTACCCCCGAACATGGTGCTCTTCTGTTAGAAATTTCTTCATTGGGTTGGCTAGTAAAGAGTGCAAAATTTCTGGTATCGAAAAAATGAACAAAGTGTCTCTTTGGCTTAGACCTGTAACCTTTACTGGGAGTTCGAACAACTAAATTTCGACTTCAACTATTATCTAATATATCAGATGATCAGGGATCCAATGAATCGAAATTCTAGAGAGATACGCATATGAAGGAATACAGTTAGAGTTTTTCCCTGCATAGGCAGATCTACCAACCAAAGAGTACATTCGGTTTTTAAGGACGCTCATATCTCAAATCAAGAGAAAGGTCGACTTTCGCCGATCCATATAAGCAGAAGGTTGATGATGAAATTACAAAACTGATGAAGGAAATTCATATCGTGAAACTCAGCAAATGAACGTGCAATCACTTTATAGCTCCAATGGCAATCACAGCCAAAAAGATAGCACTGTGAAATCAGCCAGGGATTCAAATGCCGATAAACTCACAGAGTACCAAATGCCAAAGCTCTTACAACAGTTCGATATAGCGGCCCAAATCAGCAATTCAGAAAAATCCGGCATGACCTGGTTCACGTCTTTAGATCTGAAATATAGTTTTAGCCAGCTCCAACTTAGTGACATTGTCAGTAGCCATTCCAAATTTAATCAAGTTTGCGGTGAACTTAAAAGAACGTACCGTTTTAAAACCGGATTTTACGGCCTTAATGATATGCCAAAATAGCTTCAAAAGGCAAAGGACAACACGATTCAGAACTTTTGCGTTGAAAGAAGTTGACTGTTTCAAAGGGCTCAATATCAGAGCACACTTCGACGGTCGACTCTGTCCTATTGAGATTTGATACCGAAAATTTTAACTCTAAAATTGTCAAAATGTGAATTATCATGATTAGGTTTCATCATTGACGACAAAAGCATCAAAACAAAACTCTCCAAAAAGCAAGCAAATCTTAATTTTAAAGCACTTATTACCCTAGAGATAAAAAGACTAATTCCAACCAACTTTAAAGTATCAGAACAAATGAAAACTTATATGTGACCTTGGTCAACAACCAGCCTTTGAAGACCCGCTGAAGCTAAAATCCGGATTACTAAAATGTACCACTATGACCCAAAGAAGAAATTACGAGTCAAACGGGACAATAGCCATGGTGGTCTGGGTGCCGCTCTTGAGCAGGAACTGAAAAATTGATTCTAGAGTATTATATTGTTCTCCTCCAGCTTTTTCAATTGACACGAACTCAAATATAGCACTAATGAGCTCGAAGTTATAGCAAAAGTATGGTCGTGCGAACATTTAGAAACGACTTGTTGGGAAATCAGTTTGTGGTATTAACCGACCATGAAGCCATCATTATAACCTTAGCTCTTAAAACCAACCGT